CTTCTTCCTTCGTCCCTTTAAGTAAACATATGTAGCTGGGAGCAGAGCATTTCCCCAGTTCCTCCAGAGAGTAGAATGAAGACAATTTCCTCTTGCAAAATAAAGCCTTCCTCTGCATATGCTTGACACATATTGTCTTTTTTACATTGAAGAAAAAAGAATACATTGGATCCCTGCTGTCTGCAAAACCTTCTGGGTAAAAACTGTGTAACAAAATTTATGTTTATGAAGTTGTCATTACTGAGCTGGCTGTTGGAAGCTCTGCTGAAGAATGAGTGTCGAGAGACAAAGACGGTGGTCTCCTCGACGACGAACCCAGGCCACGTTCACCGAGTTTACCTGCAAGGAGACAGTGCTAACGAAATTGGGCGAATCACAAGCTCAACCCCAATAAGCAAACTCCAAGAGAAATCAAAGCAAACCTGATAAAGAGACACCAGTGGCACCTTTGCTTGGTTTTCTTTAAGTTCAGATTGATTCTTTTATTGTAAAAAATAGTTTTAATACTTTAATACTAATGTTCTTTTAATGTTTATTGTTTAATGATTAATACTTTTTATCTAGAGCTAAAAAACCAATGTTGTCTTAAAAATGTATTTAACCAATATGTAAACTTCGAAACCAATGAACCCTGAGTGGATTAGGATGCAATGGTGAGAGCGATTAATATTTATTGAGCAGAGCGCTGGATGGTACCCAGGTGGGCCATTCTCTTCTAGGACGCCAGCGGACCGTGTCGGGCCTCGTGTCTACGCGCTCACCGGTCCACTAGCAGCGTGAAAGATGGGTCTTCTGGGTGTCGGGGAAACGGGAAGCAGCCTGAGCCCAAGGGAGCAGTCAGACTCGACTCGCACTCGCCAGGCCTGGTGTTAGGTCCAAGTGCACAGGCTGCCTGCCTCCTGCTGCACCATCCTGGCTTCACCAACTTAGGCCCGACCACAGACTGTGACCTTAATGAGCACGTTACGCTTCTCCAGTGTTTGAGTAGCCACGATGCTTCTCAAATAGAAAGTGCCGGGAACTTCATGGAATCACACTCTGCATTCCCCTATATCCGTTGTTAGGATTGTCTTGCTCCTGTCTCACCTTCTGTCTGGGTTTTCTTTGTATATGTTATAATTCCTCAACTACTTACATGCTTTTCAGTTTGAGCACTGCACCTAATAGGTCTGTTCACCTGGAACTTAAGATGCTGTTAGCAAAATGAGATTTTTTAAAGAGAGAATTCCATTTTAAATGCACTAGAGGGAGCTTCCTAGATATTGGAGGATTTAAATAAATCCTTTTACCTTCAGTAAAGCCTTTTATAAAGTGACAAAGGATACGCACCCCTTCCCCCTCCCTCCTAACCCCCACAGATCCGTTTTATAAATGCAGATTTTGTGTTTCATGCACCATGAGGTCACACGGATGCTCAGGGGTCACTGAGCAGGAGCCAGCGCCTGCTCTGACGGCCTTTCCCCTGTGTCTCTCTGTCCCTCATAAAAGATCACGTGTGTGGGTTCTGTGCAGCTTCTCGCTACACACACTTCACATAACTAATTATTCTTAATCCTAACACGAAGCAGACAGCAGCAGGCCACATCAGACAACGGATTTGACTTAATAATCCATTACTTCCCTAATTTTAGTGCTGTACATTTTTTAAGCATTAATTTGATTTCCTCCACTGTTAGTTTTGGTTTCAGGATAATTCTGAGATGTCTTCCCTGGATTGTTCCATATTTTAAATACCTTGTCTGGGGAAGACCTAATTAGGCTTCCTCCTGCCCTTTCTCTTTCTCTCACAAACACTAGTCCAAGGGGTGTCACAATGTAACAAAACAAGGAGATTGCACTCGCAGCATGTCGCAGGATCGTGTGGCAGCTCAGGGAGACAGCCATCAGCAGTTGTTGCCCCCCAGATAACTGTCCGCTGGAAGGGAGACCTGCTCTCCCTGGCCAATGCCAGTCACAGCTCCTGATGGCTTCATGTGTCCCAGCCAGACCCTGTGAGAAATCAGTCCAGGTTTCTCCAGAAAACCCACATATGAGACAGGAGATAAGACTTCAATACTAGTTTCATCATACAGACTAGCCCTTAGAATAAAATAATTGTTGAAAGAGTTTTTAAAACCAGTTTCAAGGGCTAAAAGAAAGTGCCCTAAGCAACCTTAAAAAGGGAAGGTTTTTTTTAAGTCTGTATCCCAGATGAACCCCTCAGTATTTCACTTTGGAAGGACTAGGATTTTCTCTGTGATCTGTATCCAAGAGTCTGAATCACACTCTTTACCCCACACCTAATTCTCCTGAAATTCATGATCCTGGGTCAGAAAGCAGAGCGGTCACCATAGATGCTAAACAGCTGCCTGGCGGCTGGAAGCCAGTGTAGAATATAGTTGGTCAGATTTGGTTCTTCTCCCAGAAGAGTGCTACTCATGGAGCCTGTGGAATAGCGTTTACTGAGCATCTAATACACTCTGTAAGGTGTGAAGGAAGCACCTGTCATCTCACTGGATCCTCGCGAGGACCCTTCTGTACTGTTTCCAGCTGGAGACTTTGCACCCAACAAGGGGTGCTTCCAAGATGGAGGAGTGAGCCACGACAGGTTACCCAGCCTTCTGTCCTGGTCGTGGCATCTTTCACACTTAAAATTAATTCGCAGCAGAGGCTCTGTGCACAGTGTGTCCAGGAGTGGAGGAGGTACCCTACACAAGGTACAGTGTCCGCTGCTGCACGCGCCGCTGGAGGTTCTGGTGAGACCGGCCGAGGAACAGAATGTCACCATGGGATGAGATGAACATCTCTCTTCCTCTATCACTTTCCACGTAGGACTTGACTTTCTTAAGGCAAACTTACGTTTTGAAGAAGCCAAGGTCTGTGCATCATTATTCCTCTAAACCACATGTGGGCATCGAGTGCCAGGGGTCACCAGGGAAGATGAGGAAACAGATCCTGGCACGCGGCTGCTCATGAGGCTGCCACACATGGTGGCCCTGGAGCCGGGGGCACCTCCTCTCTTCCCGATTTCCCCATCTGGAAGCAGGGCAAACTCGTTGGTTTGTTTTGGGCTGTTTTACATTCGTGGGCTCCCTTCGAAACAAGATTGTAGTACTGTGGCCTTGTCAACCATCGGAAACGCTCAACCCGAGGAGGGGCTGTCCGTCGAACCCAGGACTGACGGTGTCTTTTGCTTGAATGGGTTTCTCAGCTGACGTCCTACCGCTGAGCTTCCTGGGGGACGTCGGGCTGTTCTACAAGGGAGATTCCCCTCCTTCCTATAAAGGCCCTGATTTAGACTTGGGGGAACTCATGGTGTTCCCACGCCCAGAAGGATGGCGTTCCTTTTCTGGAAGGACTGCCAGCTTAGTCCCTGTGAGGACACCTGCCGTGCAGCGAGAGCTCAGACTGGCGAGCGCTGGCCCCGCGGCCTCGGGAAGGGCAAGTGTTCCAGCCCCACGCCAGGATGCGGAGGCGGAGGCCGGAAGGCAGAGGACTTGGCAGGCCGCACTGCTGGCCCCGCGGGTGAGCTCAGATCCTGGTCTCCCAGTCTGAGCGACTTATTGCCAGATTCTCAACACTTTGTGCTGAGTCCCCTCATGCGAATATGGCGTCTGGTCCGAATGTGTTCCCAGGCCTCGCAACCATCCCTGCCTGCTTTCTAGCTGCCAGCAGCTGGGAATCCAGCCGCCCTCTCTGAGGTTCTGTGCAGTCACCTCATTGTCCCTCCATCCCTCCCTCCACACAACCCCGCGACGGCCCTCCTGAGCAGAGCCCGCCTCACCCTGCCCTGCTGGGAAAGAGGCACTGGCTGCTCACTTGTCACTCAAATGAGCCGTAGAACCCTAGGACTTTAAAGATGGCAGTAACCTTAGAAACTCCCAGGCTCGTTCTCCTGAGTCTACTGCTGAGGGGAGCAGTGTGACACTTAGGTTGTGGCAGAAGTACAAGGGCCTGGAGCTCTCCTGATGGGCAGCCAGCCTGGGTCTCTCTTCCACGTCCTAGGGGACTTGCCCCTTCTGCCCAGCGTGGTCTGGTTTCAGTGAGCGCGGCCACCTGCTCTGTGTGACCGGGGATAAGCCGTTCAGCCTGGATGAGCCCCTATTTTCTACAGCGGGGGTGGTGACAGTTCCCGCTCTGCCGTGTTCTGGTGACGATAAGAGGGACGCTGCACATAAAATGCTCCCATTTGGGGTTGGGCCTGTGGGCCCCAGCCCGCTGCAGGGCAAGTGCCTGCTCCCAGGCCCACAGCATTTGCTTATGGTCTTGGCAGCCGCGTCTTACCTCTCCCCTGGCCTGTAGGGAGCTTTCGAGCTTGGGATCCCTCCTGTTCATTGTCTGTCTGCTAGAGGGCCCGGCAAACGGAGGGGCAAGAGCCAGTGCTGAATGAGTGATAAGGTTAAGACTTAAACTCGAATAGTATCGTTTCCATGAAACCTGAGTCACCGGACGTAAAATAGATGCTGTCTGTCGGAGGAGGGGTCTCGCGATGAAATGACTAGCCAGTGAGTATAGCCAGGGTGTTCTCACTTTTCTTGACATTTGGAACACTCAATTTTAAAAGACAGAAAACTCTGCATTTAAAGGCCAATATTAAGATGCCTAAAATTAGTCAGTCTAATTTTTTATGTCTCTAAATAAAAAAAATCCTATGCAATTGAAATTAAAGCTTATATGCCACTTTCCTATGATTTAAAATCTTTAAAATGCCACCAAAAAAGAAAACAACGAACAAAGCTTTAGTTTGTTTGGCGAGGGCTTGCTGTTGTTAAGTATCTATCTAGTCATCTGACCGCAATCCTTCAAGCCCAGCTTTCTCGAATTAATGCTAATGAAAGCGCCTCGCCGTGTTTTTCTATATGAACACTGAAATTGCAGCTGCCCGCCAGGCCTGCGGGGGGATGAGTGTAATCATTTCCAATTGGCCGCTTAGCCCAAAGGGAAGCCTGGTGGCAGGAGAGCGGCAGGCCGAGCACGGATTCTCTCGTGTCTGAACTCAGCCCAATTTGTGTTTGTTGCAGGCGCTAAAGAGATTGACATCGCGGCAACACTGGAGCACCTGAGGGACCAGAGACCAGGCATGGTCCAGACAAAGGTACTGTCAGCCGATCCTCGGGGCCCGGGAGGCGTGGGCAGTGTCCGTCTCGATTGCTCTCTTGAGAGGAGAGATGGATGAGGCATGACTGACCGTCCTCCACCCCGTCCTACACAGCCAGGACAGCCGGGCCCCTCCTGGGGGGCACTAGCAATTCCAGTAACCACCCCAACATGTCAACATGAGTAGACGCTTAGGTCTTTGGAACTCTCCATTCTCTAGATTTGGGGAGGAGGAAGAACATTGCATTTTTATAAAAAGAAGTCAGCGATAAACCCCAGCACCCTCCAGGGGAATGTCCTGGATTCACTAAACATTCTACGCAGCCTCCCCTATTTCCGGCTCCCACAACCACAGCTCTGCTGTGTGGTCATCAGGACAGTGGTCGTCAGAATGTCCCCAAGGTGTACGGGGTCCCTGAGCACCCCTAAACAGCTCATGTGCGTACTCACTGAAAGGGCCAAGTTTCCAACAACAGAGGTAAAGACAACAGATTAGTGGTTAGCCTTGGATTAACTAGAACTAGAGATGGGGTTGATATAATGCCCGTTCCTTTGGCTTCAGCAGCTTGCAGGATTGTCACAAGAATCTTAGGTGATTAATGTGCAAGTTCCTTGTAAGTCACGGCACACTTTATGTTTTCTTAGATTTTTTTTATTTAAGATTCGCAATTTTCATTTTGAAGTTATTTTAGACCTGCAAAACACTTGCAGAAATAATACAAATTCCCGTGTGCCCTTCATCAGCTTCCCAGTGTTAACACCTCACAGAACCACAGCGCAGTGATGAAGGCTGGGGAGTTGGCATCATGTACAGACCTTCTCAGATCTCGCCCACATCCCCCCAGTGACCTTTCTCTGGAGCAGGGTCCCCTCCGGGGCCACCCACTCGAGGCGTCCAGTCCTCACCTCTCCTCATCCTCTGGGACAGCTCGTGCCTTGAGCACTGGCCGAGTTTGGTTTGGTTTCTGTGGACTGTCTCTTGCTTGGCTTTGTCTGACATTTTCGTGATCGGTTGTGGTTGTGCATCTTGGGCAGGAATGTGCTGGAAGGAGGCACGCAGCCTTGGCATGTGTCCTCTCCGGTGAGGGGAGCTTCAAGCACCCATTCAGGGTGTGTCCGCCAGGGGTCTCCGCTGGTTGGTTATTGGTTTTTCTTGGTAACTAGTCGTGTCCTTGGGGAGAAACCTGAGACTGTTCTCATCTGTGTGCAGTGCTTTATCGTGAGGCTGTCATGAGAAGAAGTGATGCTGTTCCAACAACAAGTGACCCACAGGCTTTTGTCCGTGGAAGGTCCATCCGGCTGGACTGACCATGCCACTGGGTGGTGGCCTTGCCAAGTCCGGAAAGGCAGGGTCAGTTCACTCTCCCTGGACGGTCTGGGCCCCATGTGGCCACCAGCAGGCCCAGACCTTCGGACTCAGATCTGGGACTGGGAGAGCTTTATACCTGGGAATGAAAAGCTAGTTCTGTCTCTGGCCGCATCTTCATTCCACGTTAAGATCCGCAGGAAGTCTTAACTTCAAACTAGCTTCTTCCCTCCTTGCTTCTGGGTACCTCTCAGGCAGGCCTCTTCCACCCCCAGACGGTACAAGGATGCCTAAAACGTGGACTGACTCTAGGAGGGGTCTACGCAAAATCACTGGGAAGGCATATCTTCATGCCAAAACAGAAAGAAATTGCCTAATATATTGTAAAAACCACTCAGCCCTCTTTTGTCTGCATCCTGTTTGCCGAACAAGCCCTTCAGAGCACACGGTTCTGAGGCCCGAAGGGTTGGTCCACAGGCTGTGCCCGAAAGAAAGATGAAGCTACGTTCATTATCATTATGTGTCATGTATTCCCTTATACTCTAATTTTTTAAGCGGCAAAATGACAAAATGTACACACGGTAGCAGTCTTGGCCAGACTATCAGGCTGCTGCCTCCAGGCCACAGAGAGTTTGCCTCACACGGAACGTCCCGTTGGGTGGATTGTCAACAGGAATTGACCCTCTTCCTTGGGTTGGGATGTAAAAGTTGTCTGAAGTATGTACGTAAATTCAGTTCCTGGAATTTCAAGATATAAAGAATCAATTAATACGTAAAAGCTGCTATTCTATCTTAATTTATGACTGCTTTGCCCAACGTTACTCCATGAAACTGAACTTCCTCCTAAAGTTCAATTTTTTAAGAGCTAGAAAATTCCTTGGGCAAAATCGTGCTGTACAATCTGATACTCCTCGTACCAGCCAAGAGGCGCTCATCCACGGTCTGTTCATCTGAACAGATTTAGTCAACTCACGTCATTTGAGCTGAATGCAAGGAAGGCGCGATCAGTCAACGGTGAGCTCCTTGAGACCAGGGCCGAGGATGACGACGGAGCCCCCGATGCCCACCACCCAGCCTGAGAGCAAAACTTCGTCTTTATGTTTAAAAAAAGTCACAGGGACCGGCCCCGTGGTGCAAGCGGTTAAGTGCACACGCTCCACTGTGGCGGCCCAGGGTTCACAGGTTCGGGTCCCGGGCCCACACCGACGCACGGCTTGTCAAGCCATGCTGTGGCGGC